ACAAGGCTTTTCAACCAATGGGCCACTGCAATCTGAAATTCCTCTGCCCTCTCAGTTCCCAAAGTGATGCCCTCTCATATTTATTGATTTAAAGGATTGTTTCTTCACTATACCTTTACAAGAAAAAGAGAAATGTTTGCCTTCACAGGCCCTACTTATAATAATTCTCAGCCTACTAGGAGATGCCAGTGGACTGTCCTCCCACAGGGAATGCTCAATAGCCCCACCCTGTGTCAATATTTTTTAAGTCAACTATTGGAAAAAAATACATAAGCAATTTTTTAAGTCTATACTTTACCATTACATGGATGATATTTTGTGATCTGATTCAAACATAGATACCTTGGAAAGACTGTTTGAAGAAGTAAAGATAGTTTTACCTAAATGGGGATTGCAGATTGCTCCTGAAAAGATACAGAGAGGAGATTCTTTCAATTATCTAGTTTATAAAATAGGTTTACAAAAATTAGTACACAAAAGGTACCAATTAGGAGAGATCGGTTATGGACTCTAAATTACTTTTAAAGATTGTTAGGAGACATCTCCAACCTATGACTGGCTGTTGAGATAACACCTGATCTAATAATTCATTTAAACAAAACCATAGATGGTAATAAAGACTTGAATAGTCACAGAGAATTAACAGCTGAAGCAGAAAAGGAACTGACAATGGTTGAGGAAAAATTACAGGAGGCACATGTAGATAGGGTGGATCCAAATCTTAGTTGCATTCTAGTCATATTGCCTTACAGAATTTCTCCTATGGGAATTTTAATACAGAGGGAAGATACTATTTTAGAATGGATCTTTTTACCACACAAACCAAGTAAAAAATTAAAAACTTATGTGGAAAAAGTCTCTGAATTGATTATAAAAGGAAAATTGAGACTTTGTCAATTAGCAGGTATAGACCCAGCAGAAATTATAGTGCCTTTCACTGTTGATGAGATAAAAAAGTTGTGGGAAGACAATGAACCATGGCAAAGAGCTTGTGCTAATTTTTTGGGAGAAATCAATAACAATTACCCAAAAAGCAAGAGACTTAACTTTATAAAAAGAACTTCTTGGATCCTCCCTCGAATTGTCCGTGATGCTCCAATAACCGGAGCCCATACATTTTATACCAATGCTAATAAATCAGGGAAAGCAGGTTACAAATCAGAAGAATTGAGTAAAGTGGAACAAAGTCCTTATGATTCTGCCCAGAAGGCAGAATTATATGCCATCTTTATAGTGCTTAGGGATTTTAAAGAACTTCTTAATATAATTACTGACTCACAATATGCAGAAAGAGTTATTTTGCATATTGAAACTGCTGAATTTATACCTGATGATACAGAACTGACCTCATTGTTTATCCAGGTGCAAGGCATGATCAGGAAAAGGTTTTGCTCTATGTACATAATACACATCCAATCCCATATGGGTCTGCCATGTCCTCTAGCACAAAGTAATGCAGAAATTGATCAATTATTGATTGGAAGTGTGCTTCAGGCATCTCAATTTCATAAAAAAATCACATCAATAGCAAAGTTTTAAAGAAAGAGTTTTCTATAACATGGTCACAAGCTAAGGAGATTATAAAGAGATTCCCTACTTGTTCTTTCTATAACCAAATACAACTACCTACAGGGACTAATCCAAAGGGTACTCAAAGGAATGAAATTTGGCAGATAGATATGTTCCACTTTGCAGAATTTGCCAAATTAAAATATGTACACCACACCATTGACACTTATTCAGGTTTTCAGTGGGCAACTTCTTTAAACTGGGAAAAAACTGATTCAGTAATCACTCATTTATTAGAAGTCATGGCTGCCATGGTTATACCTGCAGAAATAAAGAGGGATAATGGTCCAGATTATGTCTCTAGGAAGATGAAGAGGGTTTTTGTTTATTATAATATCAAGCATGTTACAGGTACACCACTCAAACTGACAGGTCAAGCAGTTATAGAAAGATCAAATCGAACCATAAAGGATATGTTAAACAAACAGAAAAAAGTGAAAAATGCCCACAGAAATAGATCACATAATTCTTTATTAACCTTAAATTTCCTTAACACTAATGAGAAAGGGACAATGACAGCAGAAAGACATTGGATAATGGAAAAGTCTGCTGAATTTAATCAACGGGTTTATTTCAAGGATGTGCTGACCTCATAATGGAAGTCAGGAGACGTGCTGCATTGGGGAAGGTTTGCTCTTGTTTACACAGGAGAAGAAAAATTGTGGATATTATCAAAATTAATAAAATTTTGGTTTTGAAAGGGAGGAACCTCTTGGAAAGGAAAAATAACAGCTCATCCACAATGATAATAATCATACAGGTGGTAAGAAAAACATACAGGATGGGGGCATGGTTCTGTTCTTATCTCCACAGGAAAACATTCATTTTCAAAAAATTCAAGGGACCCTGGATGTTTGAATACTGACAGATGGCACCAATTTACAAGCCAATAAGGATCAGCAAGAAACTTGAATATTCAAAGCATAATACATACATACATATTTATGCATATATATATATACACATATATGAATGTACTTATATTTATAAATATATAGAGCTGGTTTTGAAGTTGGACTCTGACTCAGGTCCTCTTTAATTCTAAGCCTGTTGCTAAGAGAAAAATCAGAGTTTCTGTCTCATGTCAAGAGCCATGATATGGGACAGAAAGAAAAAAGAATTTATAAAACTTTTTTGCATTTCTTCATATCTATTTTTGTCTTTATTATATCTTTCATTGAATATATATGTCTATATATGTCTATATAGATAATGCTTAGGGTTTCCATAATGAACATTAAATTTCCCTGCATTAATCTTGGAAGTTTCCAGGAAGAAAATGGGGCCCCACAACAACTCCACCTGGTTAATATGATGTCATGATTCTATAGCACTACTACAATCCATGTTTTGGGTACCAGCTGCACAAGATGGTTCCAACTTGGTTAGCTGAAATGTTGCACATCTTGTACAACATTCTGACCAGACCTCCACAAAATAGTCAGAGACTATTTTACCAGGCCAAATATTAATCTTGGAATTTAACCATCATTTACTCTAACAGGTTCCCCTAAAAAAATGTTGCCCCCATGACAGGTGGAAGCAATATTAGAAGACAATGTCCCCTCTCCCAGAAAAGTTTGCCCTCAGTCTTAGGGCATCATTTAGTGGTTTATTATAATTGGTAGATGGTTGCAGAATGGAGGAGGAATTTTATAGACTCAGGGATCTTTTTGGAAGAAAAGAAGGATAATTGCATGGAGGGATAATAGATTGGTATTTTGAGTAATTGTTTTTAGACAATTATATTGGTATCAATTCTTGTATATTGATACAAAGTTAAATTATATTGAATATTGTATGCATGTATGTTTCTACCTCTGTTTAAAACATTGTTTAAGTATTGATATAAATATATATATATATATTTTTATCATATTACAGTGTACATTACTACCTCTGATCAAGCTACTTATACACTGTTTACATTTGAAGGTCATTGTCCTTATTTATTGCACAGTTGTTTATTGTATTACTCTTTAAGTTAGATAGGTATTGAGAATTATAGATCAATAGTCATTTATGTTTGTCATATTTATAATTAGACTAATCAGGTTTTTTTTAGATACATAGAGATTATATTCAGTATAGATAGATAATCTTCAACCTCTTCAAAGAGCTGTAGAAAATGGCGTTGAATCTAACTTAGAGTTCTGTGGTAGTGAGACACAATCATTCCTGGCAACACTGATCTATTCTCAAGAGAATGTTGAGCACCAAAGACAGTCCACCTGGAGCCTTTCTTCTTGGCAGAACTGGCCTTTGGGCAAAGAAATGCCCATACCCCAACCACTGACAGAGATCCAAAGTATCTGTAAATGGATAAAACAGGACTGTCATATCCTGCCAAGGCAGGGTAAGATAGTTTTGAAAAGTTTCTTGCTTTTGAAAATGGTATGTCAGTTACGTTAGGCCTTAGCCAAAGTTGGTTGCTTCAACATTGCAAATGAGACTTTGGGTGATTCTCAGGTAGTCAATTTGTAGCATATTTCTCAATTGCACTTCCTGTTTACTCAAGTAATATTGCTTCCCTTCTCAGATCTTCAATGGAGTTGAAGATTAGATAATTGTAGTTACCTTCCTCATTATTTAGACAAGCTTATTTTCAATGCAATATTTAGACTCCTTGAAAGAGAATGTTCAGTAAAACTTTTGTAATGCATTCCTTGCTTAATTTTGTTTATTGTTTATAATTTTATATTTGGTACCTGTTCCTATTGTATAGTGTTGTATTGGGTTTGGATTGATCTTGTTTAGATAAAAGAGGGAGATGATGGGGAAACTCTGCAAACCAATCACATCTAATTAAGACGTGGTTATGTGGACCCCAGAAAGAAAAACCGGGAGGATCCAGGTGCGCTCTCTCTCTCTCTCTCTCTCTCTCTCTCTCTCTCTCTCTCTTTCTGTATGGTGCCCACAGGACATATATAGGAAGTCAGACCCCCACTCTTGTAGAGTGAGCTTTTCCCTTATAACCATTAAAACATAATTGTTATTCTTGAGCTGACCTAGTTATTTATCATGCCGACTGAATCCTGAACCAAGTGTTCATAGGAGCACTTAGGAACTTCATAGAAGCACAAAGACTGAACTGACAAACAGGGAGCACACATGGAACTGGCCTAGGATGCTGCATGTACATTGGTGTTGTTTAGTTTGGTCCTCTTGTGGAACTCTTAACATTGGGAGCAGGGACTGTCTCTGATTATTTTACTGACATTTGGAACTCTACTTCTTATTTAGCCCAGTCCTAATACATGGGAGATGCTTAGTCTTACTGCAATTTAATAGCCTTTGTTTTATTCACACTTCTCATGGGAGACCTGATATTTCCTAAACAGAAACAGGAGGGGTAGATGGAGGAATGGAAACAGAGTAGGGTGGTAGGGTCAAAGAATGGGAAGAGAGGGGAGAGAAGAAACTGTCCAGGATGAAAAATAAACAGGTAAATGAATTTATTTTTTCAAAGAAATGTTTATATTTTCAGTATAACGCTTATTGTAGAATACTGCAACTAAAGCATTTGATCCAGTTTTATAATAAGAGAAGTCACCATGCTTCATATTTTCATAAAAACAAATTACTCATCAAGTTACAGAGGCTAAGTTATTCTCAAAAAAGCTGAAAAGAACTGATGGAGCCAATCAAATGTGAATTGAGGTGGTCCCATGAGGACAACAGAAGATGAATTTCTCATTCTGTCACAGACGTAGTCATTTTCTTTATATCACATTTTGATAATGAGAAACTCAATGGATGTATGAAAGTTCATAATGATCTTTCAAGGCCAGTCAACTAAACCCTTTCTTCTTCTGGGTTATTCATGAAGTAAACCAAAGTTTACAATGTTCTTAGGCATCACCTTCTTGAAGAACACAACTGAACTCTTTGATGGAAAATTATGCTCCAGTTATGATTGCATCACGTGACGCAACCTTTAGAAGAATGTATTTTTCTGGTTGAAGCATTGATTTTCAGCTTAATTTCACAGGAATCTGCAATAGTGTAAGAATAAAAAGATAATCAATGAGTGAACTAACAGCAATCTCAGAAGAAATGCTTGGAAAAATTCAGGATGATAATTCTTTGTAGAAACATAAAAGTTGCATTTAGCATCAAATATTTTTACTTCCTTATTATCCAAGCTGTGCCAATTAGATGGTGAGAGCATCCAAACCATGCATTGGGTATAATGTTGATTGAGAAATTACTGTATAAAAGACCTGAGATGAAGTCATGTTGGTTTAAGTTATTTCTGGTCTGTATTGATTTAAACATACAAGTTTAACATTTTTGAACCAGATTTTCAGCTATTATGTCATACTATTTTTTAAGACCTGAAAAGTTATTTTTGATTTGTTGAAACTTGGTACTCTGAGAAGATACATTCCAAGTACATGGACAGTCCTCAGCTCCTTACGTATGTCACCACTGCAACTGAGATGATTCTGGAAAAGCCTTTAAGAGGAAATATACTTGCATACTTTTCTATTTTCTACTCTTGTCTTGTGAGAATGGGTTGGTTGAACTGGGTCCTCAAGTGTTTTCAATGATGCTTTAGGTTCATGCTATTCAGAGATGGTGGGAGAATGCCTCAAACAGAGTTATCTTCTGATCACAGGACAAGGAAGGGGAGCAAAATTGTCATGAAGATATAGAAATATCATATTTAAAATGATTAAAGATGCCCAGTGCATTTTCCCGTGTCAGGTGTGTTGTGGACTCTCAGAACTAGTATCTTGCTTTGTCTGTCTAAATCCCTGTACATGCTTATGATTTAAATGCTTTAGTGAAAAAGTAGTAAAATAAATGAGGTTGCATTGTAGAAAGATGCTACACAACTTTCTTAAGCCATAAATCATAAAATAAACATTCTCATTCTTCCATTCATTCATGAATGAAATTGACAATGTGAAGACAAATCCTAATACACAAGTCTTGTAAATTTTAGCTATCCCTTTGCTTGAACAGGAACAAGCTTTTCAGAAAAATAAAAACTCTTTGTCCAAATGCTCCATCATATTCCTTTAAAATTTTAAGTAATATATATATGCTTTCCATAGAGTCATTCAAAACAAATGTGTATAAAAATATACATGCTAATGGTATCTGTTAATGGTTTTATTGGCTTAAAGTTTTATTGAAAGAATATGGTAGTTGTTAACCATACTTTAAACCATTTACTAAAGGTTTTCAATGCACAAACTCTCCTCAAAGAACAATTTGTAGTTTGCAGAAGAAATAAGATGAGGTGATATAAAAAAGAGAAATGATATTCTTCAATACAGAGAGAACAAACAGAACCAAACTGGTGGTTTAAACGACGAACCCTTGGCATAGGTGTTGATAACAGCCACAGGAGCCAAAAGTAGAGCATAAAATAAATGAGGGAAGAAACTCAAGAAAAAAAATACTCATTTGGGGAATGAACAATAACGTAAGGTAGGAGAACAGAATAAAAAGGGGAAAAGATATGTGTTTTATGGAAATATGACAACTACCCATTTCCTGGAGCAATAACTACTCCAGAGAAGTGAAGCAAAACTGTCAAGATGCTCATTAAAGTTGGAGTTTCTCATAACCAGCAACTTTGGAAAGATTCATTTATTTTTATTTTATGAATAGGAATGTTTTGACTGCACATATGCATGTATACTACTTGTGCGCAATCTCAACAGAAGTGAAAAAAGCACATCTAAGACCTTGTAAATGTAGTTGAAAATGGTTGTGGTGCACCATGTATGGGCTGGGAACTGAACCCGGGTCCTATTCAAGAGCACCAAGTGTTCATAACTGCTGAGGCATCTCTTGAGCCCTTTCAAATAGCAATTGTATTTTAAAATAATGATTCTCAACTTGGTCTCACATGCTGACTCAGCAATGAGCTTTTAAAGCCAAAACAGTGGGTGAATTATTTGAAGCTTTTAGAAATACCAAGGCATCATAAGTTTTTGTTATTGGTTTTGATACTAGGTGTCTTGTAATCCACGCTGGCTTCAAATTCAATAAGTGGCCAAGAAACAGTTGGACTTCTGATCTACTTGCCTCCACCTCCTCAGTGCAAGGATTACAGGAATGCACACCACAGCTACCTCATGCAGCACTGTGCATGGCAACCAGGTCTTTGTGAATGCTAGGTAAGAACTTTGCCAACTGAGAAACATCTCAGACCCCATATATGAGTTGTAAAGATCCACGATGATTCTAATGAAGCCAGGCATTGACAAGACTGTCAGCAGAGGGATTCTTTGAGCTCCTAAAGAAGAGAACACGACCCAAGAAGCATGAAGTCATGATCACGGCACATCTGACTACCATATGATATACCTAAATGACAGTGAACATTACTGGAACTTCAAACATAATGCATATAATCTTTTCATACCGACCTGCACTAACTAGTCTAAATGCTACAATTGTATTCTATATTGATACAGAACCATAGGTCCCTGAGTACAAATAACTCATTTGACCATAAAACAAATTAGTAAATCTCAAATAAGTAGATTTATTTTTCTACATAGAACCTTCATTTGAAAGAATGTTTCCAATAACACATTATTTATAGAGAAAGATTTTCCCTCACCTGTGTTTCCTTACAAGGATGGAAAGAGAAGTTCTGCAGGACTTTAGTGAGAGCAAGTTTCATATTCATGAGAGCAAACCTCATGTCAATGCAGTTTCTGGGTCTATTCCCAAAGGGCATGTATACATGAGGATTGATGCTGCCCTTGTTCTCCTTGCTGAACCTGGAGATACACAGTAGTGACAAGTTAGCAAATAATAGAAGCATAAGAGCTACACACATGAATTTGCCTTTAGACATCTAACTAGTAACGTAGAGGTAGATTGGCAAAGGTTCATTGAACTTCTGTTTCCATGTATTGACTCTGAGAACTGTACACTAAAGGTCCTTTCCTTTCCCCTTGTCTTATAACAATTTTCATATGGTAGAAAAAACAAATGCTGTCAGACAGAAAATGCATCCTGTGTTCCCAGTACTATAATACTGTTGTTATGGGTAAGAGGTAAGCAACCACTGTCTGATTGGATTGGAGTTCCAATTTATAGGGGGAATTAATGACTGATACTCTAAGTGTGGTCAAAATCTGATTGATAGGGTGGTCATAGTATCTAGGGGAGAATGTACTCCTGTTGTTTTGCTAAGTGGACAACTGTCCACTGAATATTCATGTTTATACAGAAAAAATTAGTGCCGCTCTTAGTCTTGGTCAGAGAAGCTTCTGATTGTGGTGGAGACAGTTAACACAGAAACTCATAACTGGTGAAAATGCTGAGAAAGAGTGAAGGGCTACAAATCACAATAAGTGGGTATTTTGTAAATTAGCATCTTTTTAGCTATCAAAAATGAAGCATAAGGGCCGATGTTTAGGTGGAGAGCTAGCCCGGCATGTATGAAGTCATGTGCTCCATCTCCAGCACTTTATAAAGTAGGCATGGTAACCTAGAAGTTAAAAGGTCAATTTTAGGCACACCATGACTGTGATGTCAGCCTGGGCTACATAAACCCTGGTCTCAAATGGAGAAGGAGATGTTGAAGAATTTGGAGTTAGCAGAACACATGAAAGGGTTTCAAGTGGACAGTCAGGAGAAAATTTAAACATGAAACACATGATGACTTTACAAGCAAACTTGGGATCCTAGAAGATCATATTGCTATATATGTGATTGTGTGACTAGAAATAAGAAGGTATGTAAGGAGTGCTGAGGAGTTCCAACTAGAGGGGTGAGTCTGGGCTATCCGGGGCAGACTGTCCCAGAAGAGAACACAGACACCCCCCAGCTTCTGCTGCAGGGTCTTCTGTGTTCCACTCAACCCTACCTTGCCACCACTGTCACCCTTTTTTCTACTGTGTCCTTGGAATACCAACTATCCCTATATTAGTGCTGAGTGTTTCTTTCCAGAGAGATGAGTATGTGCTATCCAGGGCGGACTGTCCCCGAAGAGAGCACCCCCCCACCCAGCTTCTGCAGCTGGGTCTTCGGTGTTCCACTGAACTCTATCCTGCCCCCATGGTTGCCGCTTTGGCTCCTGTGTCCTTGGAATACCAGCTACCCCTATTTCTGTGCTGAGGAGTTCAATCCAGAGGGTGATAAGGAATTCCATCCAGAGGGCTAGCCCTGTGTCTGTGCTGAGGAGTTCCATCCAGAGGGTGCTGAGGAGTACCATCTAGAGGGACAGGAACAGTTCCTGCTCATGCACTGAAGAGATCCACCCAGAGAGTCAGTAACAGCAAATACTGAACCAAGACACCAAGACTCCCCTGGCTCCATTTGAAGAAAGAGATGGGCAGGTGCCAATGCAAGAATTCCTCTAACAACCTGAAAGGCAACATGACATCACCAGAATCCAGGGATCACGAAACTAGAAGAATTGAACACTCTACTCCAGAAGAAAAAGAAGAAATTGACTCTAAGCAGAACTATATGAAAATAATAGAGGAACTTAAATAGGAGGTAAAAATCTGCCATAAAGAAATGGAAGAGAAGTATAACAAAAAGATCGAAGAAATGAGTAAAGAAATGGAAGAGAAGTATAACAAAAAGTTTGAAGAAATGGGTAAATCCATAAATGACACCCTGGGAAAGAAAGAAAAAACAATCAAACAGGTAATGGAAACAGTTCAAGAATTGAAAACTGAAATGGAGGCAATGAAGAAAACACAAACTGAGGGCCGACTGGCTATGGAAAATCTAAATAAATTAAGAGAGATTTCAGAAACAAGCATAACCAATAGAATCCAAGAGATAGAAGAATGAATCTCAGACTCTGAAGACACCATAGAGAAAATAAACGCTCTGACCAAAGACAACAGCAAATCCAACAAATTCTCATCATAAAACATTCAGGAAATCTGGGACACAATAAAAAGACCAAATCTAAGTGCTTGAAGTTCTAGCAATAGCAATAAGACAACATAAGGAGATCAAGGGGATTCAAATTGAAAAGGAAGATGTTAAACTTTCGTTATTTGCAGATGATATGATTGTGTACAAAAGCGACCCCCAAAACTCTACCAAAGAACTCCTACAGCTGATAATCATCTTTAGTAATGTGCAGGTTACAAGATCAACTCCAAAAAATCGGTTGACCTCCTATACACAAAGGATAAAGAAGCAGAGAGGGAAATCAGAGAAACATTATCTTTCACGATAGCCACAAATAGCAAAAAATATCTTGGGGTAACTCTAACCAAGGAAGTAAAAGACCTATTTAACAAGAACTTTAAGTCTTTGAAGAAAGAATTTAGAAGGATACCAGAAAATGGAAAGATCTCCCTTGCTCTTGGATTGGGAGGATCAACATAGTAAAAATGGAAATTCTACAAAAAGCAATCTATAGATTCAATGCAATTCACATCAAAATCCCATCAAAATTCTTCACAGACCTTGAGGGAACGATAATCAAGTTTATATGGCAAAACAAAAAACCCATGATAGCCAAAACAATATTATACAATAAAGGTACTTCTGGAGGCATTGCCATCCTTGATTTCAAACTCTATTACAGAGCTACAGTATTGAAAACAGCTTGGTATTGGCATAACAACAGAGCTAAAGTGTTTTTTTTAATTTACTTAATTATTTATTTAAAAATTTCCACTTCCTCCCCTCCTCCCAATACCCTCCCACTCCCCCCACTTCCTCTCCTCCTCCCTCTCCAGTCCTAAGAGCAGTCAGGGTTTCCTGTCCTGTGGGAAGTTCAAATTCCTCCCCCCTCCCTCCAGGTCTAGGAAGGTGAGCATCCAAACAGACTAGGATCCCAAAAAGCCAGTACATGCAGATGAAACAAGACCCAGGGCCATTGTCAATGCCTTCTCAGTCAGCCCCCATGTCAGCCACATTCAGAGAATCCAGTTTGATCACATGTTCGTTCAGTCCCAGTCAAGCTGGCCTTAGTGAGCTCTCATTAGATCAGTTCCCTTGTATCAGTGGGTGAACACACCCCTTGCTGTCCTGACTTCCTTGTTCATGTTCTCCCTCCTTCTGCTCCTAATTTGGACCTTGGGAGCTCAGTCCAGTACTCCAATGTGGGTCTCTGTCTCTATCTCCATCCATCATTGGATGAAGGTTCCCTCTGATCCTGCCTTCCTTGCTCACATTCTCCCTCCTTCTGCTTCTCATTTGGACCTAGGGAGTTAAGTTCAATGTTCCAATGTGTGTCTCTGTCTCTATCTCCATCCAGTAGATGGAATTGGGATACCATCATTTTGCAACCATGAAAGTAATAATGGTTTTAAATTAAAATGTAAACCTAAAAGAGAGGCTAGAGAGATGACTCAGTGGGTAAGAGAACATGCTGCACAAGCATGAGGACCTGGGTTTGAATTCTCTGTTTTCATGTAAAAAGTCAAGTGTGGTAACACATGCCTGTAAATACAAATCCATGGACCAGTGAGACATGTTGGCTGCCAGACTAGCTCCAGGTTTAATAAGAGACCCTGTCTGAAGGAAACAAGGCAAAGAGTGATTGAGCACGACACTTGTTGCCTTCATCTGATACCCATTCACTCACCTATTCATATGCACATGTGCACATACAATAGGCACATACATACATATGGCATGTGAAAAGATAAAATTTATTAATTTGGATTTAAGTGTGCAAAATAATGAAGAGAACCAGTGTGTTTGTACAACGAAGATTTCCTCAGATGTCACGTATTCAACCCACTAAGAAAATTAAATCTTCACTATAGATTAAGATAGAGTCCCTTACACCAGTAACTCCAAGAAATCATCAACACTGTTTAGGTACATTTCTCCTGACAGGATGTAGACTCAGTTATCTAGGCAGTGTTGCTAGTGAGTTCCTACTCTGTCTTTCTGGGAAAGACATAAACAGCACCTTGCAGACCTAAGTAACATAGAGAGACCAATAAAAACTCCCATCATGACTACCCTTCATGTTCGGAATGAACTTGTGCCCATGTGCTCCTAGAAAATTCCATGTATATAATAGCCATGTCCTTCTTTCAGTAACCTGACAGAGGTATTTTGCTAACTAACCTTCCCACTTATTTTCTGAGACCTGACTACTTCCTGAGAACTTCCTTGCCCATAGACCAGGGAGTCCTTGGTTACCTTTATGAGACTTTGTCTTTGGAATTTTTTTGAGTGTTCAGCATCAACTGAAGAAGATCCACTCACTGCTGGAAACAAAAGTTGCAAAAATAGAAGGTCAATTGTGAGGTCAGAAGTCAGAGTTAGATCAGGAGTATAGAAGCTTAACTTCCTTCTGCAAATGTAGCTCTCTTAAATTTACAATTGGGGTTGGGTTTGCTTGAATCATCACAGAACAAAAGCACAAAGTGGCTAAACAAGGAAGCAATCCAACTGACATATCAATATGTCTAACAATAAATTACAAAGGATACAATTTTAAACAATACCTTTGATTGTTTGAAATCAAAGTTTTTTAAGGAGATGAAAATAGTATTCTACCTTTTAATTTTTTGTCTATTTTTAGAGAATTTCATCGATGTATACAATAAAATATGGCCATATCTACCCCACCATTTCTTTCCTTCAATTCCTATTACACCCTTATAATATTTCTCTGTCCTAACATCACGACATTTGAATTTTATTACCCAATAATTTCAACTGGTGCTGTCAATATGTAATTGACTGTATGGGAAACCTACTGTAGGCCACACCCACCCTCTGCAGTCATCAAAAGCAAAGAGTTTCTCACATAGAGATGGGGCTTGAAAAGGTCCTCTCTCATCTAAGGTGGAGATTTCACGATGTTGATCTTGCATGGGTCTAGTTCTTTGCCAGTATTTTAATTTCAATCCTGAGGCAGGGCACTCTTGTTTTCATTCCTATTGCTAAGGTTTAATTTATGGATTTTTCTCTATCAATTTTTTTCAAAACTCTATCTTTTCCTCCTCCAGAAATATAAATGCTCTTTCTGTCTCTTTAAATCTGTCCTTATCTGTCTACCTTTCGTGATAGATGAAGGGAAGCACATAATTCACATGTTCACAGCCCAAATCACTATCAAACCTGTACCTCTCATGAGACAACCACTTTGTACCTTCTGTTTAGAATCCAGGCAATTTCCTTTTATTATTCCCACAAATTTTTGGAAAAAATGCTATTGAATCCTTTGGAAACATGGAGACATTTAACATCTCATATATTGGAATGAGGAATGGAAAGAGGACTGAAAAAGAAAGATAAAGAATAATTTTAAGTGGAAATGAAAGTTTCATTTAGAGAAATCATGAAACACTCTAAAGAATAATTCACCACTGTCTCAAACAGACCATTCTCTCTGTGACCTTTCTCATGCTGGGTCACTACCCTAATGCTCCTTCTGTACTCTGGAGTACCCATAGGAATAAATCTCTTTCTTTGTTTAAATTCTGCTCCTGATGTTTGTGGGGATCCAAAGGAAAGACAGGGGTCATTGACATGGTTTAGTAGGTAAAGAGTCCTGCAGAAAAGCCAAACAACCTGAATTTGAATCCTGCATCCCATGCTGTGGAAGAAGAGAACCAACCAACTACTTGAAGTTGTCCTCTGATCTCTACATGCCACACAAATACTAAGATATTCACACACATTTACATACACACACACACACACACACAGAGAGTGAGAGAGAGAAAGAGAGAGAGAGAAGTTGTCGAATATTTATTTACACTGCGTGAAGATATGTCATTATGGTTGGTTTAATAAAGAATTAAATGGCCAGTAGTTAAACAGTAATGAGTATGCAAGGCTTCTTGGGAAATACAGCAATTCTAAGAAGAAGTAAGGCAGGGAGACATCAGCGAAACACTGAAAAATTCAGATGTGAATTACAGAGGAGAGATACCCAAGCCACAGGACAGAACATAGATTAAAAGAAAAAGGTAAATTTAAGTTGTAAAAGCTAGTTGGGGAAATTCTAAGCTACAGCCAAGTTTTCATAATTAATACTAAGTCTCCATGTTATTATTTGTGAGGTAGCAGATCAAAGAAAAGTTAAACTACACACATGCAAACACACATACATGCACACACACAAATAAGTAAATCAATTTGTTGTTATCTAATACATAAGTAATAAAGAAGTAACAGCCCATATAGCATTTGCTTCTCAACTGGGATATTATAGTTTTGTTTAATTTAGCACCAGAAACATTCTGAGAAAAATCAGAGGTATGTTCAAACTAA